CTTGAATCCATAACAATTCTAAGAACCTGGAAAAACCATAAACAGTTGGAAGCATTCGAAATGGGGTAATCTGCAAAAACGGAAGAAGAGTCATGAATATCGCAAATATGTGGTCATTGAATAAAAAAATAAAGAATTCATAATGATATGGTTGAGTTTTGAGGTACCTGCCTAATATTAACAATTAACAAACATTTCTTCCGGTTGCTCCACCACCAGATTCTTTATTTCAAACTGTTCACATTCTTCCCTTTCTTTAAATTCTTTGCACTTCCGAGTTCTTTTACTCATATTTTGTTATGACATGATGGTTCATGACCGTATTAAAAGTGTAACCAAATTTGTTAGGAGAAGCCTTGATCATAATATACAGTATATTTACGCATTAAACAGTTTATTTATAAAGTATAAATCGATCTATTTCAATTACCTACACAAAATTGGTAGATACTTGATAATGATACAAAATAAGTACCTGATACAAAGGTGTAGTATTATATCTTTGCCTGATATCATGCGGCAAATATCCCTGACGCTAGATGGCGTCCCCAGTATTGCTGTTAGTTGAATAGATGGCGGCGTTAGCTAACATTCACGATTTTCGAATAATGAAGTCAGCTTTGCGCAGTGGCGATATTGTAACCAATGAAGGAATACTGAGGTGCAATTATTGCTAGTTGAAAACTTTATACCAATACCCCGCCAAGTGGACGTGAAATACCGTCCGCTAAGGCAATTTTTGACAACCTCTACGGGGGTTATTTTTTAAATAAGCATAATGACTGCGGATTCTTTTAAGACAATGTCACATTATCATACAGTGTGTGTGTTTGTATGTAAACTGGACTAATGATGATCATTTTTGATCGCATTTTTCTGACTTTTTAAACTCTCAAGGTTTCTCGAGCCCTTCGTGTACTGTATATTGTTCAGAAGGTTTTAGACACTTTCCAGAGCGTCATTATTTGCTTATGGGGAGGTTTCAATAGGCGATTTGGAAATGATCCGGGTAAGTTCCGTAAAACCCTCTAAGGGCCGGTTTTACAATTACACTTTTACGCAGAATAAGATATCCTTGGAATACCGAGGCACCAGTGGATGCGCTCACCGATGCTATTCGGGAGGTTGTGGGTTCGAATCCCGCTGCCGACTGCTCTGTCTGGGGTTTTGTCAGGGGGTTTTCCTCAGACATACTGTAACGAGTGGTTTTATTTCGCGCCAAATTTCATTAAAAAATTCGAAATTGCTTGTCATGATAGTGCAGGTCACCCTGTATATTTCATTATTTGTTCCGGTTAGAAATTTTGTGTTTGGGCATTTCGATTCGCTCAAGACTATGGTCCGATAGATTTAATTTCGCTCAGATTTAATTTCGTCGTGGGAAGAGTGCAAAGTTGATTGACGTCATCATGAGTAATGCGAGTTTTTGTCGTTCGTTTATCAACTTTGGCGCCGTCTAGACCGAGAATAGGAGCGGATATAGCACCGAGCCATCAAGAGATAAGGGGTTTTAAATTCGTCAGCAGAAAACCGTGAGATCAGTTTATTCAGCAGTTCCTGGAGGTTGACGACGAAGTTAGAGTGGGTTAAGTCTTCTTTATCTAAACCAATGGGAGAATTTCTAGCGGGAGCCATTTTTGTTTTATGGTAATTTGGGTGTGGTTTTCTCAGTTCAATTCTGAAGAAGGGGATCGTTTTTGGGGAGACTCGCGGTTAGTACGTCAAGCGGTCAACACGTACCTTGAGCGATCGTTTTGGTACACTTAGCGTTTTGAGCCACCGGTTTATTTCGGTTGCTCGCAGTTGCGTGCTTTTTGCACCCGTTTCGAAGTGTTATTTTCTTTTCGCGTTGATTTTTTGGCGACGAAGACCCAGGTTCCGATCAGGTGATATTTTGGCGAACCCTTGAGCTTCACCCCAGTTTACTTTGGATGCAGTGAATCGCGTTAGGATACGTTGTGATTTCTCGAGGATATATAATTCAAAGTGCTGCCCTAGTCCTCAAGGCGCCGATATTCGGGATCCGCCCCAGGTGGAATTTCCTACTAGTGCCGTACGGTCATTTGTCGAAGGAGCGCTGCGTTTTGGAGAGATATTTGCCCCAAGAAGAGCTGGTGAAATAATACGTCGAACCACCCAAGAACAAATAGCGGTTTACCGTCGGATAGTGATCATAAAAATTTGTGTTCTGCCGTGCCGCTAACTCAAAAATCTGTCTCCCGCAGGCGATCAAAGTTAATAAACTCTAAGAGCCGGTGGAAGGAAATAGTAGGGGTCACTGTTTAAATTAAATACACCGCTGTGTAGAAAACTTTGGCAACTAGCCGTCTCCCACTCGCCACGCGAAGGATTTCCTGGACTAAGCTTCAGTTCAAACACTAAACTTTGCTTTCGTTCCGAGGAAGGATAGGCACCGTGGATTTTGTTTCCGTGTGTTAATTTCAAGCCACCCCCTAGGAAGTCACAGAGACCTAAGTGTCAGGTTTTATCACATCCACCCTGTACCAGAGGAAAGAGCAGTTCACAAGATCGGCTGTACAAATGTTGTAAAGGTTAGTCTAATTAAATTTGTAACATTCTGTAAAATTCCACTTTTTGGTAAGGAAGCTATAGAAAAAATTTTGATTTGATTGTTTATTAAAGTCCAATGAACGATTACCAAAGAGTAGGATAAATTTTTGTGTTTATTTAAATAAGTCCCAGCCCACGATGGAGTAAAAACCGATGACCTGTTGTTGAAATTTTCAAACTGTAGAGGATGGCCACCCCTTGAGTAAATTAGTCTCACCTGGTAGGATTTTTTATTTAGTTTAGTTGTCATTGTTAAGCTCAGAGGTGGGTACCTATTTCGAATGAATTTATTTGAAATACGTATTTAAAATAGAAAATGCCATTTTATATTTTGTATTTTAAATACTGTAGATAAAATCATTTTCTATTTTAAATAAATCAGTATAACTATTTTCTATTTAAAATAACGTAGTATAGATTCGATTCAAAGTTTTTCTGGTTTACCTGCAAATGTGATCTGTGGAAAGAAAATAAAAATGGTGATCTGTGGTAAATAAGTGCATCAAAACGCTTCCTTGCACAAAACGTGCTTGGCTTGCTTGTGTTGTTGTGGCTTGCTTGTTTACGTGATTTCTGTGGTTTACGCACGCGGCTCTTGCTGAAAGGCTGTTTTCATACGCAGGGATGATCATGCGACCAAAACGTCGATGCATGAATGATGATACATTTGAAAAACTTTTAATAATTAAAGCTAATGTAAATTTTATTGAAAATAAATAAATTGTAAAACCATTTTGTATTCGAAATGTTATTTTTTTATTTAATTAATTAATTAATTAATTTTATTTTTCTATTTTGTATTTTAAATAAATGTACAAAAACCATTTTGCATTTTACATTTTAAATACAATATCTGAATACATTTTGCATTTTCCATTTTAAATACTTATTTAAATGCATTTTACCCACCTCTGGTTAAGCTAGTGTTTTTACAAGGAGGGGAGAAGAACTGCTAGATCCCTGTAATTTGTTTGTATCTCTAATATCATTTCAATATATTATCTATTTGGTTTCAATGTGCCTATGTCTTTAACGAAGAACGAGGGGAAGGAAAGAGAGGAGTAGGAGTTGAGGCAGGAGACTGGTAGGCGGCAGGTTAAGGTTTGTTACGCAGTTTCAAAAGAGTTAAAAGCCCACCGATTTGAGTTAGCCGGAGCATTTATTTTTATCGATTGAGCAGCCTGAGAAGAAGACGGTTTGCCTTGCCGGGCGGAACCGATGGCAATTTTCAAGTCCAGAAGGAACCCCCGTAGCAATACGTAGCTTCGCATAATGCTAGCATTATGTTGAAATCTACGAGGCGAATGCTGGAGCAGTACTCTCCCCCTCAGCACCCTAACTCCGTTCCTTCCGTTCCCATCCCTAACTTTACCCATCCTTACAATCCCGTTCTCTGGCTGAAGAGGGCCAGGAAGCCCTGAGCAGCCCGCCTCCGGTATCCCTGTAGTCAGGGGTGCCGGAGGAATGAAACACGTTGGCCTTTTTCCCTTTTTATCCTTGGAATAACTGATGCCATGGCAACATGTAACTCATTGGTTGACAGAATTGTAACCAACGCAACCGTCGACATTTATTCTAGGTATATTGTACATAGAATTGGCCCTAAGTCACCTCATATAAAATACTCTCTGTGGACTGTACCATACTAAAAAGCGCCATTTTTGAAAACTTTAAACAGTAATTATAAAAGTACGTTGTAGTTATTCATGCATCAAGGGCATTAAGGCGATATTTATACTGAAGGTTAAATATTGAGTAATGCCTGAGGAGCATACACCATTTCATTTTTCATCGTTCCGAAGAATGCATTTCCAATATACAAAAATCATGATTATTGTTTGCCCAACATTAAAGTGCTTCATACGAATCAAGTTGCATCTTTTTTATTACATAATATAACCCCGTCAATCAATTTGACAGGCCGTTTGAGGGCATAATGAGATGAAAATCCATTATGCCCTTGGGCGTAATAGACTGCTTCATATATCACATATGACAGATATAATTGCGACATATAATAGGCAAATGAAAAATAAAGTAAGTATTGTCACGGGTAATGTATATTTCTAGTGCATTACTGAATAGTGAGGTGTTTCAGTACGCTAAGTACCATATTAGTACCACACATAATATTTGCTACTGACAGTACTGCGGTAGATATAATGCTTGTAGTATTTGCCTATATTAAGATTTCAAGTAAAAATAATATATTTGTTGCTGAATACTGGTTACTTTTAGTACAATTATAAAGTATTAGTGATAGCTCTGCTATATAATCCACTTACATTTTATTATTATACATTTATTATAAACTTAATGCTTTAGCATTTCCTGTCACTGGAGATATCCTCGACAAGGAAAAATGTGAGACGCCACTGGTATAAGTTGGTAGGAAATAATGTTGGCAATAGTTCACACCAAAATTTGGTGATAAATATAAATTTGAGGTTAACGTTTTCTTTATTTATTATTATTTTTTTTATAAATATACATTTTTTTAAATAATGTGGGTAGTCTTTGTGAGGAATTTCACGTATCCCTGTGTGTATACAATGAAAAATATATAATTTCTGCCATAAAGTCTCTTACTGTTTGTGCTATAGTCTATAATATTTTGAATTAATTGAAATTGTGACTCAATGAAGTGTTGGTTAAATTAATAGGTAGGTATCGTTGCCATTCTGCACGGGCATTATTGCCAATTACTCGCCTATCCAGATCTATAACATCTATTTAGTCCACATTATTTTATTGAGCATTATAAAAGCGCATGTGTACTTTTTTGGCACCACTCCAATTTAACGTATATTGGTCCGGTGCCAAGAATGCGACAACATTCACAATTTATTTTTTTCTATAAGACGCTAAGATAGAAACTTGTGAATACATCCGCTTTTTGCAATCAAAGTTGACTGTTTTTGGGTGTGGTATCGTAGCAATTTTTGTGGAGCGTGTTTCTACTTAATTTTTATTTATAGCCGCTACCGGGAATTGTTGTTTATGAATGGAATTAACACAAATATGGCGTCCGAACCCTTGATTGTTCAAGCGATATACTCGTTTAAGGGTACAAATAACGACGAAGTAAGTACATGGTTTGCCAGTGTACTTAATGATAATGACTGCTTTTCAGTTGTGCTTTAAGAAAGGAGACCAAATTACGATCACCCAGAAGGAAGAGGGTGGTTGGTGGGAAGGCACATTGGGCGATAAAACTGGGTGGTTTCCTAGCAATTATGTGAAAGAATGTAAAGGTTTGGAATTTACAGATTCTTGAAATGCCCACTTTATGTTTTTTATGTGTTTTAGATTTTCAGACAGCTAATGCAGCATCTACTAGTTCGCAACAGAAGCAGTATAGAGCAGTTGTTTTAAAAGATTTGATCGATTCTGAAAATGCTCATATTTCAGAACAGCAAGGAGTGGTTCATAATTTTCTTCAGCCGCTTGAAAAAAGCTCAGTGTAAGTTAGTTTGGCACCTAAAATCTCATTTTTTTTGTACCAAAAGTAGGTATGATATGTGGTGTTACTTTATTGTATGGTTTTATTTGGTTTAAGAAATTGTAGTCTGTAAACCCTTGCACATTTTCATCGATGGTATCGAATAAACGTGCCGTCATTAGTAATGCCTTGACGTTGATCAAAATCAAATGAATCAATTTTTTTATTTAAAGCAGTTATTCTTATAGGCGTGTTAACGAGAAATGTGATACGTATGCGATTATGCGATGTGTCAGAACCAAAATTTGCAACTCCCTACTCTCCAGAAATTGAAAAATATGCTCAGATGTATTCGAAATGGCCCAAATTTGATACCCATCTCACCCTTTAAGCAGGATTGCTACTGGTCGCTTTAGCCGTTTTCAAAAATTTGGTTTTGATTTTGTAATTTAGTGAACGTAGGGAAAGTTACACAAGTACTGCTTCATAGGAACATGAACGAAAGTACGTCTGGAAATAAAAAGCGATAAAAAGATGTGCATTTTGAGATAAGCATTGTTTAGACCGTGTGTGCGTGGTTTTTTAAATTAGATAAAATTTTCTTTTTTTTCTAAATGCTCCCTTTTATTATGTATTCAACGAATTTAAGATTTTCCGTACCTATCTGTTCTGGTTTTTGACATATGTCAATTTTTCTGTAAAAATTTAGAAATGCAAGGGTCCACTCAAAAATTCATATCTCTAAAGCTGGATTCATATGAATACGAAATCCGACAATACGATCATCCGAAATGCTTATGATTGGTCAATAGTTTGAAATGTCATTTCAAATTATTGACCAATCATAAGCATTTCGGATGATCGTATCGTCAGATTTCGTATTCATGTGGATCCAGCTTTAAACCATTCAAGAGAAGTGAGTGCTTTTTCGTACTTCCGAGACTAAAGTGACAACTTCACTCCATCATGACAAGTACTGAAGTGTCACTTTTTGTCCCGCCGGGATTAAATTTGGACGAAAATCCCGGAAGGATGAAATTACTAACAAGGCAATTTCAGTAGGTTGTTCCACATTTTGTATACTGTACTACTTCTTAAACGCATTGTACTGCTGCTCATATAGTTTTTTGGATTTCGGTGGTTTCAATTCTTTACCTAGCTTGGCTGCTTTTTATCAATATCAAATACACGTTTGTCACCCACCACCAAAATTATGACACTAGCAATGACAGTTCCTATGGTAACTTGTTGAGCAGCGATTTTTTGAAAGAACGCGTTCTCAAACTCCATACATATTAAGTGTCAGTTTCGGAAGTACGAAAAATATCGTATATACCTTGCGACTGAAGTAGTGGTCTTAATCCCTCAGGTAAATTATGGCCCTCCCTTCGGTCGGGCCATAAACTTTACCTTCGGGATTAAAAGTACTACTTCACTCCCGCGGTATATAATATACTATTTTTTATAATTGGATTTTTAAAGTCTAATGAATTTTTGAGTGGTCGCCGAAAGTTTTGAAAATGTTTCAAAGGCTGCTGCGATTTTTCAAAATTAGTAATAATAAATGGCAAAAAAACTAACGGATATAGGCATACCGAATGTTAACACAAGTGGCCCTAAAATTTAAATCTACATGCATTTCTGGCATCATAAATACTAGTTGTAATTTGAAAAACTGAAGTTTTTAACATTTGTTGATTCCTAATTTTGAAAAATCCCAGCAGTCTTGGAAACCTTTTGAAGACTTTCATCGGTCACTTAAAAAATCCCTTAGATTTTATAGATTCGATTATAAAAACGAGCACCCACTTTATCTTGAACGGTCTAAAAGATATGTATGTTACCAGTTTTTATTTCGAGTTGAAAATCCCAAAGAATGTCGCTGCTATTTTTTTCAATCGCATCGTTAAGAAACTCCTGATAAATTGGTGAAAAATGCGAGTTACCTGCAGCGTGCAGACTCTTTTTTATGTTAAATTGGGAAGCTAGCCTCACTTGTAGCATGGCCATTCATTTATGAATAATAAAATTTACGAGAGGGAACATTTTTGAATTGGAGACGCGCCGGGATTAAATAAGTTCAATTAAAAGTCATTGTAAGAGAAGATTGTTTTCGCATCGGTAAAGTTCTGTGGCGCATTTGGGCAGCGCATTCTGCTATAGGTAAATAACATTTTAACCTGCGCACTTGCATTGTGTCAACGCGCCTTATGTTATTCTATTTGCTTGTACATTTACTCACTGTTTTATTCCCGCCATTTACAGATTATCTGCGGATGAATACAGACAACTGACCGGCAATTTTTTAGAAGTATTAGACACGCATCAGCAACTGTTGGCGTTAATCGAAGAGGAGGCGGCCAAGCCAAGCGAAGATCAACGAGTAGGTAGACTGTTTCTAAATTGGGCTCCACGAATTAAACTAGCGCATCAAGCTTATTGCTCGCTACATCCTAAAGCTGCTTTTATATTGGATAAATACAGGTAAACTAACAATGAGTAATGTGTCGAATTGTATTTGTAGTTATTAGAGATGAACTTACGACGTACATGGAGTCGTGCGGTGCGACGACACCTGGCGTTCTTGTGTTAACGATTGGTCTCAGTAAACCTTTTCGAAGGTTAGATAAATACTCGGGCATGCTGCAGGAGTTGGAGAGGCATTTGGAGGAGAGCCACGTTGATCGTGGCGATACGCAGCGATCGGTTGCAGTTTACAAGGACATTGCTGTAAGCTTTTATTGGTGGCCGTGTGCAGGTCACATTTAAATGTTCTTTCAGGCTACTTGTTTGGCAATCCGTCGTCAGAAAGAGCTTGAGTTGCAAGTTGTAACGGGTCCTGTGCGCGGTTGGGAAGGTCAAAGTTTGTCTAGTCTCGGCGACATAGTTTACATGGGTTCAGTCGCCGTTGGCCCTCAGCATCACGATCGCTATCTTGTGTTGTTTCCCTCAACCCTCTTAATACTCTCAGTTAGTCCCAGGTTTAGTGCTTTCATTTACGAGGTAAATTTCAAAGAGTACTGGCCGAGTGCAAATTTGTTTTCTCTCAGGGAAAGTTACCTTTAACCGGTATAACAGTTACAAGATTGGAAGATAGTGATCAGTACAAAAACGCGTTCGAGATAACAGGCCCTCTCATTGAAAAGCGGACTGCGATTTGCCAAAGTAAAGACGAAGCTAATCACTGGGTCGAGCTGTTACGAAAGCACATGCCTCATCGAATAAATGGTTCCAGTCCAAAGGTTTCTCCTTCCCAAGCAGAACTAGTTCCTCAACCACCACCACATGTAAGTAATTGTTTTTTAATCCAATCTATGAAAGTTATTTGGTTATGTCTTTTTCGTCCGTCGTTCCGCGCAATAGCTCAGTCCCTAGACTTTGTATCGACCTCAGGTTTTTGTTATATGAAAGCTTATGTGTTCCAGATGTGCAACTATCAAAAATTAATTCTGTCATCCATCACATTGTTGGTAAAACTCGGTCAAAAGTGTTATTTATGCATCAATTTTGTTGGGATAAAAAGTGAACTTTATTCCTTGATGCCCAAGAAGTGGTATTTTTGGTGCTCAAAATAGTTTTTGTCAAAATCGTTATTTATTCATCAATTTTCTTGAGAAAAAGACCAAACTCAACTGCTCGATACCAAAGAAGTGATCCATGTGTATTTTTGGCGACCAAAATATTTTAACCAAAGATGCCAGAATTGTTTCTCATGCGCCAATTTTCTTGGGAAAAGGCCAAACTCGATTGCTTAATTGTCAAGAAGTAGGTAATCCATGTGCTCTCCAAATATTTTTGCCTAAAAAATTTCAAAATAAACGTCTCAAATTCAAAGGTAGTCTGTCTGTCTGTCGATATGAGTGGGTTATGCAGGGAATACCCATGTAGTAGTGTTTTTGGTTTACTTGCTTGTAGCGTCGTGTTATTAAGCGAGATGCTTGTGGTTTCTCTCAATCGTGCGCTTGATGGCTTCATGTCCATCGATTTAAAAGAGAACAGATGGTCCAGTTAGGATGAAAATTTGCAGGTGGAATTTCTACATTGAAGTTGGCAAATTGGCAATGTAGGCAAAAAAATAAGGAAGACCCTTTTGACATTTCCGTCTCCGGGGGCTGCTCTGGTTGCGCCACTGACTGGACTACTTTATTGAACGACATTGAATTGGTACATTTTGCTTTTAAAAGGCAAGTTGTGCAATGGCGAGTTTAAAAATATAAGGTTAGCTAAATAGAATTCCTTTTAAAGGAATGGATTGGCTGGATTCCAAAAATGCACCAATCACATTTCGTATATTAATTATAGCCTTTTAACTAATAAACATGTTATAAACTGAAATATGTAGTTTTATGGTTTTATTCGTTCATGCGTTATTCTAAACGAATTTCCTATTACTGTAAACAGTAAAACTCGTTCGCGAGTTATCATGTACACAGGCGGGCGGACAGAAAGTCCAAATGATCAAAATTTAATTAGTTAATCACCTGACCATTGTCTACCTATTACTGAAAAGCGTGAATTATATACTATATACACAGACGAACGGATGGACGGACGGAAAGTCCAAAATCATGGACGAGCTCTGGCTTGCTCCTTTATAACTCTGATAAATCCGAAGTATTAGAAGGGATGGAAGAATCTTAACAAGCGATTTTATTGATGTATTGCTCCATTTGTAATTATTTGTAGAGTAGGGTGTGTAGATTAAAAACGAATGTTTCTCAAATAATTTACTTTATAATTTACTGTAGGTAATCGATTTCGAATCTAAGATTCACCATCAGACCGTAGCGTCTAAATTTTGCTGAATAATGAAATAAAATTGAAATATTTGGACATGTTAAAATTGATGGACGAGGACAAGTTAACTATTAAAATTCAAACGTCGATAGTGGAAGTAGAAATGGTAAACGCGAGGGTAAACGTGTTGAATTTATAATATATTATATTTATAATATACACACATAACCTCAAATTCAACACGTTTACCATTTCTACTTCCACTATTGACGTTTGAATTTTATGTCCAAATATTTCAATTTCAATTTTATTTTATTCAGCAAAATTTAGACCTACAGTAAATTATAAAGTAAATTATTTGAGAAACATTCGTTTTTAATCTACATAACTTAAGAACCGGATCTTATTGGAATTTAAACAACCTAGGAAATGGAAGAATCAGGAGAACCTGATTATTTTAGAATCTGAAACCTAAGAATGGGAAAAATCCCGCAGAAATGAAATATTTTAAAGAATCTATGAACTGATGCAATGTGATAAGTGTAAAGAATGAAAAAATAGGGAGAACTGAAGGAATCTGAAGCGTTCCAAGAAGCGATAGAAGGATCTAAAGAAACTAAAGCTTTAAAGGGTCTGAAGAATTTGAAAAATTTGAGAAAACTGCGAAATCTGAATAATGTGTAGAATTGGAAGAAAATTGAGAAAGCCGCAGTATCTGAAAACAATTGAACTTTAAATGGAACATACTGTATTTACATAATATTAAAGGCGGTCTTTAGTTACTTACTAAAAGATCTACCGCGCATATTAAACATTCAATGTAAATGAAACCATTGTAAATGGAAAATGCAGTGTGTATTAATTTACCATGAATATCATTAATTGACTCAGAGTATTTAGTTAGGTGTTAAAGTTGTTTAATGAGAATGTTACCTTTTTTTTAAAATAAGCAAAATATACAACCCACACCTATTGAAAAAATATTACTTTCTTGAATATCGTGATAAGTAATATAGTAAGGTAGTAGTAGCTCCAATAATAAGGAAGTTGGCAATAGTAACAATTGGATTACAATAATAGGTACGGTTTTAAGAATTTTTGTTAGTTGGCCATGACTCGTTTAGTTAAAAAACAATGGGAGTACTAAAGCCTAACACAATATTAAATAACATTTTTACAATATCAAAAATATTCAATACCTAGCCAATATTTTGAAGATTGAAAACGATTTTATACTTCCCTTATTTTAGTGCTTAATAAGACATAGTTATAAACATTAAACATGGGAGGGGGGGGGGGGCAAATTTCCTGCATTTTTCTTTAAAGTTTTGTTCAATTTGTTCTTAAGCGTTTCTTAACTCTCTGTGCTTCTCACTTTTTCACATCACGTTCTTTCCCTAAATTTTCATCTCAAGATCATCCCAAGTTCCCCTTTAAAATCCCCCTAAGTATCTTTTATTTCCTCATAATTCTCTTTCAAAGTTCTCTTTAAATTGTTCAATTGAATCCTTCAATTTAACACAGTAAAGGTGTTCTAAAGGTGCATTTTTCTTTTTTTTGAGATGGATATTGAATTGGATCCTAGATTTTCGCTAAAAACATAATTTAGTGAGGAGGTAAACTTTTCAGCGTCTTTTGACATATTTAGTAAAGGAGTGAAATATCTGCGATGAGCAGCAAAAATGGTCTTGTCTCATCGCGAAAAAATGTGTGAATATTCAAAGAATCCCTATGGTTGCATAAGAACTGAGGAATTTAATTACACCGTAATTTTAGCAAGGTTAAAAATCGTAAGTTTTTTCTCTCGTTTTTTCTCCTATCATTATTTTTAATTCCCATAATCTACTTAACATAATCTGCTACAATTATGGGTAATTTGAGAATGAGAATTGCAATGTTGGTCAAATTTTATTATTAAACTATCCTAGTCAACTTTGTTTTTAAGGCACTTGTAGTCGGTAATTAAACCAGTGAATCTCTCATTTTGCCTCTATTTATCCCACCTTGTATCTTATGGTTTTCGAGATGCAACGAGTCACCCTTTAAGTTTGGACAACCTGTACAGGGCGTCTCAATTTAGAGCCCCTTTATCTGTAGGAACATTGAGAAACGGTGTTCACATCTTCGCGTCTTTTTTTTTCAAAAACTTCGATTATGCTGTCGTTTTGACCTATCGCAAATAATAATGTGGCAACTGTGCAATTTAAAAAATTTGCTGTGGATAGCACAGATACCACCTGCGCATGCGTATTCTGCCCAAAAGCTTTTCTGCTCTTCCTTTTATGTCTAAGAATTTGTGTACCAAATTTGGTTCCAATCGGTTCAGCCATTTAGGCGAAAAAGAGAGTACAGACGGACTGACAGACCGACATCATCAAAATTTTGATTAATTCTGATTCCTGGTGCTTCAAATTTCAAAACGTATATTTCCTTCAAAAAAATTGTGGGTTTTTTACCACAATGCAATATGGTGGTGGTGGTAAAAAATGGCTCAATCTCGGGCTCAATTTGTTTTTGATTTTACTCATTTTTTAAAATATCGAAAAATCACAAAGAATAGAACTATTTACACTCGTATTTTGAATTGGATTAGGTTTTTAATTTTACCTAATATTGTACGATTTTTTAGTTATAACGCAGAGTTGCGTTTTTTTCAAACGGATTATGAGTCTTTATTTAATTCCACTGTTCTGATAATGTATTTGTAAAAATGACATCTCAAAAATTGTTGAATTTGAAAGAGAACATTTTCGTGCTGTAACTGGAAAACCGTGCAATTTAGGAAAAAAAATAAAACCGTACTCTAATGTAAAATGTACAAGGTGTTCTTAAATATAATGTGAATACGGAAGGTGATAATATTTTGCCTTATTTTATGACTAAAAGTTCATATCAGGGTTCATATAAACATAGGTACTTAAAGGCTTCCAATCTACAAGGGTGTTCTACCGTACACAATTTAAACTATTTAATTTATAAACGACATATGCAAACACAAGATAACGGGCGATCAAAAATGAGTTGCTGTCGAGTCGCCTTTGGAAGTTCAAGTTAAATACGATATCTTATGTAAACAAAAATTCCAAAGGTGACTCGACTCATTTTTGATCGCATAGTACAATTTTCAATGTAAACTGTCAAAACTAAAAAAAAGTTATTATCCAAATAAAACCTGGGCCTACTGGACCATTTTAAAAGTTATAGTTTCATTTAATGATTTAACTACCGAAAATTGATTTTTGTTTTTTCTCTCGATAAGGGCCACAGATACGAAAAAATTACAAGAGACCAAAAAGTTTGTACAGAAAATGGAAAATTAACTTCTTGTGGCGCACCGAAAAAAGAAGAAGAGGTAGGAAATAGAACATGATCCCCGAAAAAACAGCACCCTGTAGATTCTCACTACGATTGACGTGACCAATGATGTACGCCCGTCAGCGTAACTTTTATTTCCTTTGAAAATACCTAACTGAGATATCATGGAAAAACAGAAAATGTCAAATTTCGTTTTCATTTTCCCTAGCTTAAATTGTCAGAAATGAGCGATTCCCGTTAGCATTTTTTCAGGGTGCTTTCCTTTGGAGAATCTGAATCTCTTATCATAATTTCCATAGCGCGCTAGATGTAGAAGCTTACAGGCTACTACTTTCTTATTTCTTATGGACGCCATATTGGATTTTTACCGAATGAGACAGAGGATAAAATAACAAATTCATTTGAATGCATCGTCATCATAGCCATGTTAATTCAGCAGATCTAGCTACCTTGGATGTCGTTGGAATGTGTATTTGATTTTGAAATAGAGTGTGATACGTCGTATTATTTTTAGCGCATTTTTTAAGAATTAAAAAATATGTGCGATTGTTTGCGTTCTGTCCGTCCGTCCGGGCCCACTTCTGTCGTTTCGAACTACTTCTAGGGGAATGTTCCTAGAGTCATGGAATTTTTTGCAGTAGGTAGCCTTCACCTTGAAGGTGTGCCAGACGGCCATCAAATTTCGCTGACTAAAAGGCCCCCCCCCCCCCGAATTATTTCCTGAGATGCTGTTTTTGAAAGTAAAACGTGCATAACTTTTACATACCAATTGGTGTCAGATTTTGCATACGCATGCCTTTAGTGGTGCTAAGTTAAAGTAAATAGAGAGGAGGAGGGGGGCACATGTTGTACCCTTCATGGTATTTTAATGAAAGGTCTCATCGAAATAAATTGGTTTGTATAAAGTATAACTTTCCCGTGCGACTTTTTTTCGAGATCAGTGAGCGGCGGGGCCTGAGGGGGGGGGGGGGTTAAAAATTAATTTTATCTCGCATTGTATTCTAGTATTCTAATTAAAGGTCTCGACGAAAGGAGCCCTTCTTTCTGTCCTCTTATCAAAGTACCGAGTGGAGGGCCAGAGGAGAGGAGTGGAACTAGTTTTATCCTTCATGGTACTCTAATGAAAGGTCTCAACGAAAGGAATTAATTTCTACCAACCATAGCCTTCCTCCTCGACCTCTTATCCTGATATTCCCTTATACCTCAAGAACGGATTGTCGAAAGAGGGTACTCACAAAGTGCGATTAAGACGTCTGCAAGAAATATATCCATTGGTATTGTCAAAACAAAAGCTATTTCGGTTAAAAAAATGCGCTTTATCTGTACAAGAGTTGTGCACAATTTATACTTGTTCTCTTTTTGGTGTTAGTGGATTTAGTTAGGGTCTTACACATAACCAAAACCCACTTTACAAGATTCCACTAATTTGAACCACTGTGTTCATGTGTGTACTGAAACTTTACCTAGGATATCTTACGAAGACTATGGATATCCTCAGACATCATCAAATATCTGCGGGTATCCACCGGATCTTCTCGGATATCTACGAACATTGTGCATATGGGTGAACACCCTTGGATGTCCACGGAGATTCTGAGATATCTGCGAAAATTTTTAGGATGTCTGCGGAGATCTACTACTGGACATCTACTCAGATTTCTCCCTCGGTTTGTACTATACTTACCATGTTCGAAAATAGGTGATTTTGGGAAACCGAGAACAGCTGTTGAAGAGCTCTTTTTGGTAGAAATATGTAGGAATTTTCTGCTGGGCGAAAGACCAACAGGTCTTTTTCACTAAATTCCCTGTGCTAGATGAGCGCCGGATCTTTTTCTCTGCCCAGTCTCTTTTAATCATTAGTCAATTAAACTGTTCTAATTAAATGAGTCCACATTACATAACTTGGTGCTCCACTGATTATAAGCGCAAGGCAGGCGTTTTTACTTACATGCTGTGTAGGACGAAAAATAAATCAAAATGATTGGCGAACCTTATCTATTTCAATTGTTGAGAGTGTGTTAGTCAATTTACAATAATTGCTATAATAGAGCTAGATTCGCGTTTAAGTAATAATACGGATTGAATAAAGTTAAATTTCCTAATCTAAAAGTAGTAATAATACAAGAAGATCGCTAATAATGCTATAATAATAGGAATAATTAACATTTTTTGCGAACTTGCTGATGTGTCCTTATCAGAAGTGTTCGACAGCCAATCTTCACCCTTTTGATCGATGTGTGTGTGCTCCGATGCGACTAATTCCCCAATTTTGTACTTCTTCATTAACTCCCTCGCGTCCGTCGAATGGCCAACATCTTCAAAATTCTCGGTCGCCTCGCCGCCCGCTTGGTCGATCAAAACCTCCTCTCCGCCGGGGTGTTCATTTAAAAATTCCGTGACATCGTAAACGCTATTGTGTATAATAATCCACGAACCATCCTTTTTGTTTTTAATTTCCGCCCTTGTAAGTGTTTTTGCCATACTTCAAATAGTTGCACTCGGCGCACGTTAGTACAGAAGCTCGCGTAATAATGGTAATTTTCTATCTGAAACAGATTCCAGTTTAGTTATCTTATCTATTGTACACTTCAGGGGATAGTGAGTACAAGTAAGGAGCAAACTTCACTGATAACAATCTACTTAACGTAAGTACTTTAAATTAGCGTTTGAATGGGAAATGACTGGCATGACTCGCGCAGTTTTTTCAAATGACCTTAACCCAAGTGAACGAAACACGCGTTGGTAGGGAGGAGGTCCAACATTTTACACGACCTATAATCAGCCAAATAAATTATTCTATCGTCTTCTGCACAAATATCCAAACCGCGCGATAATCTGCAGTTTATTTAACTAAAAAAAATTCGATTGTGTTACGGAAATTTTTCTATTTAAGGCAATGCCCCGTCTCGCAACTACTGATTAAAGCCTCTGTGAGTAGATTAATAATTAATTGGACCAGTCACGTTCCCATTTTGGACATCTCTATTTAACAACTTTTTGTGCAAATCGGCATTAGTCCAATTGAAAAAAATTCTTTGCAAAATTATATTTTGACCTCGCATAAGGACCGTAAGTAGTTCGTAGTTTCTATACCAAACAAAAAATTGGCGTATGAATGCGCCTGTAAACACGGGTCGATGGCATTTCTGTTATTTTTATTGCAATGGTAATTGTCACATTAGAAACTGTGTGAATTGAGATGTTTCCTCTTAACTTATTATGACACGAAATTTTATAATTACCATCTCATTATGCTCACGTAGAGTTTGAAGTAAATTATTCACAAATCCAAAGCTTCTCTTATACCATATGAAGCCCGTGTGCTTTGGCGTGTACTCTTTTAGAACGAGACATAGGTAAGGAAATGGAACCCTATGCCCTTAAAAGAATGAAGACTCTTCGTCAAAGAAATAAACCCCTAAAGAGCATCTAAAAAAAGCGGCAGAGCACCTCGGTGTGACCCTACGGGGTTATTGGATTTGATAATGGACTTGTTACATGTGGCATATAGGTCAACTGTGCAAAGTTTGTATTGAATAGGTTCAAGCGTTTGGCAGAGATAGAGAGGCGTGACCCCAAGGGATCATTGGATTTGATCCATTTTCAATAGGCTTGTTACATGCGGCACATAGGTCAACTGTGTAAAGTTTGAACCAAATCGGTCCAAGCGTTTGACAGTTATTGTGTTCACGGACGGACGGACAGACGGACACTGTCGACTCCCCTATAAAGTTTGCATCGCTTTGCTCTGCCGCTTAATAAACAAGTACATCCGAAGTTTTAGTTAAATTCAAATAACTTTATTTGCACGGTGCAAAGAGCTACTCCATACCATCACATTAGCACTAACGGCGTTTTTCCCAATGTCGAAAAATTTTTTGGTGGTAGGTGGAGGTACTTTCAAAACAAACCAAGGTAAGGTTAACAACGAAAGTGTTTCTTTTAAAGAGATATCTATGGCCATCCTTGACTATTTTGAAGATATTTATGTTTTAAGCAAAAGATTGACAGTTAAGGCGAGTACTTTGAGGCTTTGTATCTCGGTGATTATTAGACGTAAAACAATGAAATTTTGGGGGCCTCTATAAAAAATACTGGTTATTCGAATAATCATACTCATTTTTTATAATAAGCTAATCTTCACAAATTACAAAAATATTGCTGTTTAAGTTTTTTAAAAAAATTTTTAATGGAATGTCCATTTTTTATTTCAGATATTAATCTAGGCAACTTTGTTTTTCGATTGACATGCAATATCCTATGCCTACAATTGATAGTTTTCAAGTTATTTACATTTTTCTTAGTAGGTAAAGTATTTTTTTTTACAAATCATGGTTGCCATGAACAATACAAATCACGATTGCCATTGAAATTTCAATTAATAATATCTGCCAAACCAAGCGTTAGCGTTCTTTTGATTTTTAGGTAATGGCTAATGTTTGAACTTAATGATTTATAGAATGCTATAAGAACGTGAATTGTACTTTAGATTTATTCAATGCACATTTTCCCACAAGAAGAAGGCCAACGAGAAAAAAATTGGAATGCCGTGTTGAATTGCCAAATCGGGAAGTTTTACTGCCCAAAGGATCAATGTCTTGGCATTTTTTGAAGCTCATCCAACCGCATCCATTAATGATGCCTAAAAACATTTTGATCTACCATATTCATCAATTTATAGAGTTTTGAAGAAGCATAAGTGCAAAGCTTTTTGGATTCAATTTGTACACCGTTTACAGTCCCAAGACCCACCAAAACCGGGTGGGTCACTGGGAGTGAATGCTGATCAAATGATGAAGAAGACCACAAACTTTTTAGGCCAAATATACTATAGCGATGAAGCAAAGATTCATGAAAAATGGGATGTTTCAACAGGTAATAATAGATCATTACTGCGAGAACCCTTACGTATATAAATGACTTACCTCAATTCATTGACAATGGAATTACGTTTATGTACGCTGACGACACTGCAGTAGTGGTGAGTGCTGACAACACCGACCACGCTTTAGAGAAACTAAAGTTGGTCATTAAGGAATTTATTTCTTGGTGTGGTGCAAACAGACTGGACATAAACTCAGATAAAACTGTGATCATGCGTATGGCTAAGTTCGCTCGAACTGCAAGTCAGGATCATCAGATACTCATTGAGAACGTGATGATTTCTTGTGCTCCTCATACAACCTATCTGGGTGTCAAAATAGATTGCAATTTATCATGGAACTACCACGTTGAACACGTTATCGCCAAGTTGAATTCTGCCTATTATTTGTTGTTTCAATTAAAGCAAAAATTTGATTCCAATATGCTAATTAGAGCTTATTACGCAGTGGTCACACTTGAGCTACAACATTGCTTGTTGGGGATCGAGCAGGCAAGCATACAGACTCTTCATTCTTCAAAAACGCATAATTCGTCTGATATGCAACCTCACATATTTAGAAACGTGCAAATACACCTTCGTAAAATTTAAAATCTTACCATTGCCCTGTATTTATATCCAAAAAATTCTTCATTATGTGCATAAAAACATTAAGAAATTTGTTACAGTAGGTAAAATGCATGGACACACACAAGAGGGAAACACAACATTGCAATTCGCAAACACAACCATACCTCTTATAAAACCTTCCATTTTCATCAGGCCTCGGTACTGTTTAATGCTCCTCCCAAAACATTGAAGAAATCTCAACGCATCATGAATTTAAAACAATCTCAACAAAATTATACAAAGCAACTCATTTTTATTCCGGGTACAGGAACTTCAAAAACATATTGCTATTCTAGGTTCGCTTGATATTTTATAGTATAGTCTATATAGTATGTATACAGTTTTTATGTCGTTTGTTTATTCTAATATGTCTGTTATATAATATCCCTTGACGTTTCGATAATTGTAATTCACAATTCTAAGAATAAATCACTATTATTATTATTGTCGGTGTATCTTGTGAGAACTCAGGTCTAGCCTGGTTAACTAATCGCACGGATTAAAATCAAGTAACGATTAGTGTCTGTGTCTGTGTCTGGTGAAGTTATGTAGGGTCAAAAAAAAATCACACACGTACATACATTGGAAATCTAGGGATAGTATGTAATTCGTACTTACCAACATACCTATTGATGGGCACAATAGCCAACGCTATCAGGAAAGAGGAAAACAAAACAAAAAAATCATTATTATAATTCCTGTAATTTTATTAAATGGAGTTTATTGTGTAAGTGTTTCTTTGGCTTTGCGTTTGGGTTGAATACGAGTGGGTTGTAATAACGTGGTGTGTTTCTGTGAAGAAGGAGTTTTGTGTTTTTTAATTGTATTTATGGTGTTTCTTTGTTCCTGAGGTCGTATTTGTGAGGTTGCTTGGGTTTTTGGTGGAGATATTGCAGTATTTTGTGAGCCTGTGATGCTGTTAAGGTTTTTGAGCTTCGGTTGTATACGAGTGGGTTGTTTCTGAGAAGAAGGAGTATTGTGTTTTTTAAGTGTGCTAGGGCGTGTAACTTTATTGGGTGGACCTGTCTTTGTGGTGCATGTTGTGTTACTTGTATTTATCGTGGTTCTTTGTTTTTGAGGTTGTATTTGTGAGGTTGCTTGGGTGTTTGGTGGAGATATTCCAGTATGTTGTGAGCCTGTAGTGCTGTTAAGGTTTTTGCGTTTCGGTTGAATACGAGTGGGTTGCTTCTGAGAAGTAGAAGTATTGTGTTTTTTAACTGTGCTAGCGCGTGTAACTTTATTGGGTGGACCTGTCTTTGTAGTGCATGTTGCGTTACTTGTATTTATTGTGTTTCTTTGTTCTTGAGGTTGTATTTGTGTGTTTGCTTGGGTTATTGGTGGAGACGTTACAGTATTTTGTGAGCCTGTAGTGCTGTTAAGGTTTTTGCGTTTGGATTGAATACGAGTGGGTTGTGATAACGTGGTGTGTTTCCGAGAAGAAAGAGTATTGTGTTTTTTAGCTGTGCTAAGCCGTGTAACTTTATTGGGTGAGGACGTCTTTGTAGTGCATGTTGCGTTACTTGTATTTATTGCGTTTGTTTGTTCAGGAAGTTGTGTTTGTGTGGTTGGTTGAGTTAAGGGTGGAGATATTACAGTATGTTGTGTGTCATGTTGTGAGTCTAAAGTGCTGTTTAGGTTTTTGCGTTTGGGTTGAATACTAATGGGTCGCGATAATGTGGTTTGCTTCAGAGGTGAATCTCTGATTGTAGTATATGTTGTATCATTTGTTGTACTTGTTTGTTCGGTAAGTTGTATTTGTGTGTATGTTTGGGTTAGAGGTGGAGATATTACAGTATGTTGTGTACCGTGTTGTGAGCGAGTACTGTTGTTTACATGTATACGTTGTTGATCATTTGTGTATGTAGTATCTTGTGTTATGTTTAGAAATTTACGAACAATATGGCATGTGTTGATAATGACTGCTTTTTGTAAATGTTTGTATGTGTTTTTGTCTAAACCTAATAGTTGTAAATTGTGGTGTATTGTCTTTGGTATAACTCCGGTAGCACTAAGAATAATGGGAACTATAACAGTAGATTTCATTCTCCATTGCGTCTTAAGCTCGATAGCTATATCGGTGTATTTACGGTGTTTTTCTGCATGTGTTTTAGTTAAGTTGTTAGTGTTGGGTATGGCAATGTCTATAATACAAATGGATTTTTGTGTTTTATCTATAAGTGTAATATCTGGTCTATTATTGTGGATAGTTTTGT